GCCACCACCACAGCCACAGCTCGGCCCGGGCGCTCGACGTCACCGCGCCCCGCCCCCTGCGCGATTTCCCCAGCCCCGCCCCGGGCTGACGTCAGCGCTAGCCCCGCCCCCGCCCGACCGCGCCCGGTCGGCGTCCCACATCCTCCCGGGAGCGCGATTCGGGCGCGCGCGGGCCTCGGGCACTTTCCGGGGTCTGGCGGGAGGGGGCTCTGGGCTGCCGGCAGACGCGGGCGCACACGCGCACACGGCAGGCGCGGGTCGGGCGGTGTCTGTCTCCTCCCGCTTGCCGTAGGAGGCGGTGCGGTGCAGACAGGGGGCCGCCGCCTCCGCCGCTGCTTCAGGGGGCCAGTCACGCAGAACCCGGGGCTAGCCGCCCCGAGGAGCCTGGCGCCCGCGGACAGGTGGGCTTCCCGCCCGGAGGCCCTCGGGCTGCCCGCACGGCCCGGGAGACACCGCCAACGGCGTTTTCGCGGTTCGCCTCGGCGGCCGGCGAGGGAGGGAAGGCGGGGCGGACGGCCGTCCCGGTCCTCGCGGGCGGCAGCTGGCCCGGCGTCAGGCTCCCCAGTTTCTGGTACCGAAGCTCAGACGGGTTTCCTTGTCGGAGCCACGCACCGTTAATGTAAGGCCGTAAGTAAGCTATCCTTGCACTAAGAAAGTAAGAGTGATTTGAATCGTGTTTATTCCCGGCTGGCGATTGTTTTATCAGTAACTCTAAACGCCCCTGAGAGCAGTTGAGTCACCGCCAGCGTCCACGCCCTCGTGGCCCCACTGTCACTTTCCCGTCCCTCGTCGGGGTTCTCGTCCCTTCATTCGTCATCGCATCCCCATCCCGTCCAGCGTCCCCCGGCCTGCTGTACAGTCGCCCCCTTCCGTAGGGTCCGTACGCGGCCGCCGCTGTCAGGACCGCTGCCGGGGGACGCTCGGTCCTGCCAAATGAAGCATCCTAAAGTGTTTCATTTTCTCGGGCACCCGACTTCACTCAGGAATAAGCCAACTTCCTTTGACTGTTTCTCACGATCCTTCGTATCTGATTGCTGATCCGCTCGTCCTGCTGCTCCCCAGCGGTGTGGTGAGATGAAGGGAATGCAAAGTGGACTCATCTTTCTAGTTTACATTCTGCCAGTGTCTACGTGTGTGACCTTGGGAAAATCCCATTACTCCTGGGTCCTGCTTTTCGTAACTGTAAAAGGGGGTGTGAACGAGATGTCTCAGATCTATCCCATCCCTGAAATGTGGGGATCTGAAGAGTGTGAGATGCTAAGCATTGTTATTCATGCACTGGAGTACTGTCAATATCACAGACACAGAAATTTTTTTGGTTTCTTTTTTGTCATTCCATTGTTCTTTTTTCTTATTTCCTACTCTGCCCCACATATCTTTTTTTAAACCTACACTTAGGATTTTTTTTTTTTTTTTAATTAAAGCTGGCTGAGTGCATGCATCCGTTGCCTCTTCTTCCTGGAACCCCATTAAAATGCTAACAAAGGAATGAAAAATGATACAAACCCGTACAAAACAGAAAATGGGAAGGGAGCCACCAAGAGATTTTTTTTTTTCTAATTTTACACACAGAAAGTGGGTGAGGTCTGATTAAACAAAATGGAAGAAACCATAATGTGGAATAGGCATAGGGTGGGTACTGCAGCTGAAGAAGGAGGCCCACCTGCCAGAAATGATTTAGAGAAACTGAAATTTGGAGACACTGACAAGACAGAGCAAGAGTGAGAAGCAGAGCTGAAAACAAGGACACTAAAGGTCTCTATGTAGAACAGCAGAACCCTCCCTATACCTCAGATACAATAGCTAGACATTTATCCCAGGCTAAAAGTCAAGCTTTTTCATCATCTCTGGGGAGCATTTAATGACTTAAGAGTAGAGCATTCTTTACTCCGGCACAATAGCCAGTTTCCTACCCACTCACCCTAGAGTGAAGTTGTGCAAGTTGGCAAGACCCAAGTTCTAAAGATGCGTCATCAGCATCCAACTACTCCATCTTAAATATGAATGGACAACCAGGGACTGTTAGGTGTTTAAAGTCTGCAACTCAGGGCTGGGGAAGGGAGGGAGAGTATAAGAAGAAAATGTGACCACAGAGGAAAAAGAAACTTCAGAGAACTTAAAAATATGCTCACAAACTTTTATTACAGATATGAAACAAGGATAATGTACTCAGATAAGTAACAATCCAAGAACAAAAAGAAGGTCTTGAAATTAGAAATAGGAAATTGCAAAAATTATAAATTCACAGGAAGTGTTGAAAGGTAAAGTCCGTGCAATTTTAAGAAGAATAGAAGAAATACGCAAAGAGATGGAAATTGCAAGAGAAAATATAAGAAAAATAAAAAGTCAATCCAACAGGACTAATATTACAAGAGAAAGAGAAAAGAGAGTAAATAAAAGATGGAAAATTACCCGAAAAATAACGGAACAAAATTTCCCAGAGTTGAAAATGTCCATTAGTGGAGAACAAAAACAACTTTGTGAAGTGTTAAAACTCTAAAGATAAAGAGAAGATCCTGAATTTCCAAAGGAAAAATGTGACCCATAGGGACGTCCCTAGTGGTCCAGTGGTAAAGAATCTGCCTTCCAATGCAGGGGACGCAGGTTCGATCCCTGGTCGGGGAACTAAGATCCCACACGCCGTGGAGCAACTAAGCTGGTGTGCCTCAGCTAGAGCCCACATGCCACAAACTACAGAGCCCATGCTCTGGAACCCATGCACCACAACTAGAGAGAGAGAACCTGCACGCCACAACTGGAGAGAAGCCCGCACACCTAAAGGAAAGATCCCAAGGGCCGCACCTAAGACCTGACGCAGCCAAAAATAAATAAATAAATAATAATAATTTTAAAAAGTTACCCGTAAAAGAGTAAGACTCACACTGCGATTAGAATTCTTACCAGCAACACTAGATATGAGAAGATAACAATGACCTTCAAGTTTCTGAGGGAAATATTTCTTTAACTTCAAATTCTAAGAATTTTTTTATTAAAAAAAACCTCTATTCCTAGCTGAATTATCATTAAGAGAGCGAAATGAAAACAGTTTCAGATATGCAGAGACTCATAAAGTCAAACTCCCACATAGGCTTTTTTTCAAAATTTAAAGATGAGATAGAAATGAGGTTTCTGACAGCATCAGTATCCAGGATTCACTAGATCTAATTCAGTAGTAAAGGGAAATCCCAAGAGCTAGGCTAGATTGGGATGGAAGGATAGGAGTTCTGGGAGAGGATTCAACTGAATAATTACTATGATAGAAAGCTTAGAAAATGCTGGTTTCTGGTGTTCAACTTTTAGACCAAACCTGTTAATAAATTATAATCCTGCTGTAGTTAAAGCATAGTTTATAAATTATACCAATGTTGACAACATAAACGTAAAAATACAGCTGGCAGTTTAAGATGTGAAACATAGGAAAGGTAGAGGTAAAGGGAAAAGCACTCAAGAGACGATGTGTATAGTTGGCAGAATAAGAAGCATTTGCTAAAGTGTGCTGTTAGAAGTAGGAAAAGTGACCAGTGGAGGAGCAAGGAATTATTAGGCTTACTGAGAGGATAGGAAGACACGAGGTACAGGGTTTATAATTAAGCTAAATCGTCATCAAGAAATAATAGAAGATTTAATATCATTAAAATAAGCAGTACTCCTCCATTTGTTCTGCACATTCTATGCCATCCTATCAAAAATCCCAGCTGCCTTTTTTTTTTCTAGAAATTGACAAGCAGATCCTAAAATTCACATGGCAATGCAAGGGACTCAGAATAGCCAAAAGAATCTTGAAAAAAAAAAAAGTTGAAACACTCATTCTCCCTGCTTTCAAAATTGACTACAAAACTACAATAATCAAGGTAGTGTGTTGTACCAGAATAATGATAGACATATATATCATGGAAAAGAGTTGAGACTTCAGAACTAACCCACACATTTATGGACAGTTGATTCACTGGGAAAATAGTCTTCTCAACAAAGGATGCTGGGACAGTTGTATACCCACATGCAAAAGAATGAAATTGGACACCTACCTCACTTACGCAAAACTTAATTAAAGGAACTTCCCTGGTGGCACAGGGAATCCGCGCCAAGGGAAGGGACATGGGTTCGACCCATGGTCCAGGAAGATCCCACATGCCACGGAGCAACTAAGCCCGTGCACCACAACTATTGAGCCTGCGCTCTAGAGCCCACGAGCCACAACTACTGATCCCGCGTGCCTAGAGCCCATGCTCCGCAACAAGAGAAGCCACCGCATTGAGAAGCCCATGCACCGCAACAAAGAGTACCCCCACTCACCTCAACTAGAGAAAGCCCACGCGCAGCAGTGAAGAGCCAATGCAGCCAAAATTAATTAAATTTTTAAAAAATTAATTCAAAATGGATCATAGACCTAAATATAAATGCTAAAACTATAATACTCTTAGAAAAAAAACAGGTGTAAACCTTCATGACCTTGGATTAGGCAATAGTTTCTTAGCTATGAAACCAGAACCGTAAGTGACAAAATTTTAA